TTCCCAGATACCCCTCAATGTCGTCATTAAAGCCAAGTAACCCCTCCTCCCACATTCCCACATACCCCTCTGTAAACCCATATTACCGCTCCCTAGACATTCTCGCACACCCCCCCAGACATTCCCGCATGGTTACCTCAATGAAGACAGTACAACAAACCGAAATACACAAACATTAAAGCCATAGTAAGAAAAAAACTAAGCAATGAAAATATGAAGTAACCAAAGTAACTAAAAGCAGTGGAAGCATGGTAAAATACATGAAATCTCAGTGGAAGCACGAAGTCGCACAGTAGTGTCAATATGAAGAAAAAAAAAAAAAAAGTAAACAAGAGGAAATATTATAAAAGAAGAATAACTAAAAAATAAAACCCAAAAAACAAGAAGAAGAACGAAACTTGTGGAACTCTAAATGAAGAAAGATATACACAAATATCATCGGCGCGAAATCGAAGTCCTAGTCTACGACGCATCGCACTGCCCGTCGTCTATGTCATCATCGTCGATGATGCGCTCTCGCCACCTTTGCGCACCTTCACCGCCGTCTCCTCTCCCTCTCCAGATGCTGTGACGCAGATACGGCACGACTGGCAACTGCTCTGGCTGCCACCCTCTCTGCCTCCTGGACCTCCGCCTCTCTCTCAACACCCCCTCCAGCAGAACGTCCCAAAACGCCAGTCAGAGTCGTGTATGTCTTCCTACCCCTAGGCATGGGCACCCCATCCGTCGTGGAATCCTCCGTGCGACCCCCAGCAGCTCGACGACTGCCCGGTCCTGTACCCGTCTGACGTCGCGGCTCCTCATCCAGTATCCTGTGTGCAGTAGAAGTACAACCTCCACGGCTCGTCTGCAAAGTGACAAGATCAGGGTTATCCTCCAGCAATGCTGGGGGTGGTCGGGCACCTGGCAAAGCACGTGTGGAAGATCGCCCTTTCGGACATTGATGACCATCTCGCTGTGCCTCACCTGTTGTGGGCAGTCGTGACGGCGGTGCAACCATCGTGCTGCCCCGTCGATCTGCAGCACACGACGACCCGACACTAGGATGCTCCAACCTTTCTCCCTTCCATACCCAGTCTGCTGCGTCCGCAAACATCTCTGTCAACCTCCCCTCACGATCCCTCCTCTCACCCGTGACCCCAGGCATAGCATCCTTGAGTTTGCGGGTGACCCTGCTGATGCCGCTCCACGATACGGACTTCCCCTTCGCCTTCAATGAAGGTGATGGAGAACCCTGCACCTGCCCGCGCTCTCCTGCCGTCGCCGGCGCAGCAGAACCCTCTCCCCAACCAAAACTCCCGCCCGAAAGGCCCGACCGTCCGCCGACAACTGCGGGACCACCTCCCCCGCCCACAAAACTGTCACCAGACTCACCTCCCCGTCCACTCACCGCCCCTGCACATGCTGGTCGTTTCCCTGCAGCAACTGGCCCTGCTCCCCATGATACCCCTCCCGGGTCGATAACCCTCCGACCTGTCAATTGCTTGAACAAGTCGGCCATCTCCATAGTTTTCCCAATATCCCCCGGTACCCCCGAGGGTGCTGGCGGACTAACAGGCATGAAAGAACATGGAGGCACAGCCTTCCAAAGCCTCTTCGATATATGCTTGCTCCTGCCCATCACTGGATCAATCCCAACAGTGTGGCGCTCGAGTGGGAACATGTTGGGCACGTGTGCCTCTACAGGGTGTGCAACAACGTCCCCAGGGTCCACCTGTCGCTCCTCCTCGTTGCGATGTGCAACCATAGCATCCACCTCCGTGCCATCGCACCCAAGCAACCCCCCTGCAACTATCGTGGCCGCGCCGTCGCCCCCGTCCGCCTCATCAGTAGTGGGTAGTACCGTGTCGCTGGCCCCACATAAACCACCCAACCCTACCCTCGCGTCCTCCTGGTGGTCGTCCGCACGATCCACCACGTGTCCCTCTGTGCTGAGTCCTCCACCATCTGCAACATCTGCAGGACCATCGTGTCTACACTCTGCTGCTAGTCTGGCGGCAGTGACCTCCCCTACACTACACCCCATCTCCCTCGCCCTGGTCGTGTCCTGCTCCAACGCAAGCCGCTGTGTTGTGGCACACCCCGACACCATCCGTGCCAAACGTTCCTCCTCAAGCACGTCCTCGGGGTCCATATGTAGCCTCCTAGCAACACGACCGACGTCGTCACCAGTCCTGCCCTCCTATATCTCGCCTGACGCTCTGGCAGCCTCTGTCAACAAACCTGAACTAGCACCACCAAAAATCGACCCTATGAGGTGTGCGACTTTGCTCACCGGTGTCTGAACACGCACCCCACCGCGCCAAGCATCTGAAGTGGGTGGACGTCCAAGGTCGAAGCCGTCACTGAAAATGCCTGAGGGAATCGATCCCTGCGGTACCGCCAAACCAAATCCATGTCCGCCACTACCGCCCCCGCCCGCTGCACTGGGGCTAGGAGTAACAAGGAAGGCGCCACCCGCTCCGTCCTCAATCAGCCCATTACCGTCACCACCGTCGAATCCATACTCGTCCCCATGTCCTCTGTCCTGGTCGGGTCCCTCTCTCTCGACGTCGGAGTCCTCGTTATCGGCGGCATCTCCGTCGTCTGACCTGTCACCTCCCTCGTCCTCGCTCGACGATCGCACAACCTGTGTCTGATTGCGCCGTCTATCCGTCGCACTCCTAGTCAAGGGAGGGGTCATGCGATCAACATCACAATGGCTCTGCCGATCCCGCGAACACATATCACTGGCAGCCTCATGATCACTCTCTCCGCCGAACTCGTCACCAACATCAGGTGTGTCACTGCCTCTCTGCTCCAAGTCCTCCGGGTCCGTCCAGGGCCCTGCCTCCATCTCATCTGCAGCATGCGGGTTCGTGGGTGGATCGTACTCGATCTCCTCGTGGTACAGCTCAATATGAGCTGCACGACGACCAAACATAGTCTGAATTGCAGGGGGGTGGCGAACCGTCGAGGCACGCTGCATCCTGCGCGCCTGGTGCACAATGTCCTCGTCCGTCAATGACCCCGGCGGCAGAGTACCTGATCTGCGCGGCTCCGGGACGTTGTCCAACCCCTCTTCAAGATCACCCTACGACAGAACAAGTCCCCTCCTCCTCTGTCTACACTCCAGGAGCTTCTTGTTCGCGCACATCTCCACCATTTCAGGCGCTTCTAATGGATACGCTCGTGCAACTCCAGTTCCTCTCCGCAGGAGAGGCGCAGACCCATGTGTACATCAGACGTGTGGCGATGGCACAAAGCTCAGGGGCACAGTTGCCGTGCAAAACCCACCAATCAGTAATGGTCTGTGTCTCATCCGACCCCTCCCACGTGTCCTCGTCTCCAGTGCCTGCATCTCCACCCCAATCATACCTCGGCCCACGCACGTGGAAGTCGTACCACTGCTGACGGACCAACCTGTACTTGTCTCCCTATCGGTCGAAGCCCGTCTGCTCGTAGATGTACTCAAGTGTTATCTCTGCCACCTTCTTCTGCTGATCGCTGCGCCTCGGAGACTGGAAGTAAACGAAGTTCCGCCTCTTGGGATTGAGAAGATGGGCGGCAGCATGGGCGGGCTCGAGCAGATGGCATGCACGAGCGTAACAATCCTGCAACATTCCAACCAGGCGAGGTCTCGTCGACTCCAACTTCCGAATCTCCTCGGCCAACTAGGTTACCCACCGGAAGATGCAAGAGATCACCAAACCTCCTTGGTCCAACATCCTCAACAACTGCACGACCGGGGTGAAGACGTCGATGAGATCATCCATCTCCTCCCAAAACAGCCCGCATCGCACCTGTGTGCGCACCCACCCGGCCTGCCCGAGCAGCGTCCTCTCCCATGGAAGTCGCGCCCAATCCCCCTCCAACATCATCGTCTCAAGTGGAACCCTGTAGTCGCGCAACCTCTCCATCATGATGTACATAGACGCGAATCGCGTCTGGCAAGGGTACAACAACTATCGACCGTGTCGTGGTCTGCCAATTGTCCCCTCTCCGCCCGCGGCGCTGCCACCCAAACGGTCCGCACGTGCATCGCGATCTGCCCTCGCGTTGTAACTCCTGAACAACGCGAGAGTCGATCCGTGACATCTAATGAATCGGACAACCACCCTCGCCCTGGTTAACAAGTCGATGACCCATGTCTTATCCTTGACCATGTCTAACAACATCAAGTTGCAGCAATGGACAGAACAAGGGAGCCAAGGGATGCGACGGATATCTGGATCGGAATCGTTGCAAAGCGTTCGATCGGCGGTGACATAAACTGATGCAGAGTCCGTGCAGATGGCGTTGATGTTCTTCACGCCGAACTTCTCGAACACCTTCTTCCAGCGCTGCAAGACGACGTCTGACGATCCGTGAGGATGGTAGCCCCTGTGTTCTGCATCTGCTCGCGTATGTCACGTAGCTTATCAACTATGTACGCACGCTCCTCCTGTATGCCACTGCATGCTATACGCTTGAACTGGGGCAAAGTAGGTTTCATGCCCAAGGGCATGTTCTGCAAATGTCTCGTGAGGGCCCTGTACTCGGGCATCCTCGCCCTCTCAAATGGGACACCGCCAATATACCACCACTGCAGGAAGAGATGGTCGAAGGTGGTCTGCCACTCCGGGTCGTACATCTCATCCAGTCTGACCTGCTTCAAACGTTTCGGGTCCGGCACGCGTGCCGCAGGAGCGGTGTCCGCCCTCCTCTTCCCACGACCATCCATAGGCGCGCGAGTCCTTGTCTGATGAGCAGTGCGTCGTGCCTTCAATGATCCCCCCTGAAGGGACGCTCCTAACTCCATAACATCGTCCTCACCGCCGTTCTCCGTCGGTCCCTCGCCCTCACCCTCCGTCCCTGTGTCCATCTCATCGTCCTCGGCGCCACACTGTCCTCCCTCGCTGTCCTCCCCCTCCCTGTCCAAAACATCCTGCACCTCGTCATCCTCCGGCACTCCAACTCCCACCTCTTTGTTATTCCGGATGCCACGATACTCCATATAATCCTGCACATGTCTCTCTCGCGGTTAGTCGAAAGGGTACTGTGTGGTATTCCAAATGTCGACGAGGACCTCTGGTGTCACCTTGGGGCACCTACCCTTCGTGAAGTGCTCAGCACCCCGCGCCTGACTGCCCTGGAAAGGTGGTTTGTCGCAGAAGCGGCACTTCATCTTGAAGTTGCCCTTGCAACTCTCCAGCGTCTGACCCTGCGTCAAGTACTTGAATATGCAGCACCGGCGAATAGCCTCGTGCTGGTCGTCGTCCTTGACCGGCACAAAGGCCTCCTTGGCGCCCTCCCCTTCCCCCTTTTTCCTTTTCCCTACCATCCCCTCCCCCTTTTTCTTTTTCCCTGTCATGTCCAATCCCCCCTCCTCCCCCCCCCTTCCCCCTCCTGAATTGTGTCCCGATGGGCCGCCGGTTGCCTAGGGTGCCCTGCCCAGGAGGACCTGCGCCCGGAACCGTCGACAATGCCGGCGTAGGTGAACCTCCTGCCCGCTACCGCCGATTCAACCGTCCTCGCCGCCGGGCCGAAGCGCCAGTGAAAACGGTGAACGGTCCGTGAACGAACGCGTCTTCGTTCACAGATGCGTTCACGACCACGAACGGCCGTTCACGGGCGCATTCACAGCTTCGAACGGCTGTTCATGGGCACGTTTTTTCTCTCTCTTTCTCTCTCTCTCTCTCTCTCTCTCTCTCTCTCTCTCTCTCTCTCTCTCTCTCTCTCTCTTTCTCACACACACACACACGCGCCAACTCTCTTTCTCTCTCTCTCTCTCTCTCTCTCTCTCTCTGTGAAGAATGGCGGGTGTGGTCGGTGCTTTATTGCACCACCGAAACAACGACGGGACCCGGGGGCCTCATCCCTCTCTCCGTGAAAATGCCCCCCTTTTTTATTTAATTATTTTTTTTTTTTTCAAAAAAAAAAAAAAAAATTCGATCGAAAAAATTAAATAAAAAAATGGGCAGGTGCCCCTTGACAGTCCCCACACGTCTATAAAAAAAAAAAAGTACCCCTACCAGCCAAAAAAAAAAAACCACCGAAGTTCCCACTCACGGTGAACTCCGTGAACGGTGACCGGTCTCCGTTCACAACCGCCGTGAACGGTGAACGGGGATACGGCACAGGTTTGGCCTACCTTGGGTAGGCCGAACCATTTTTCAATGTGGCGCTGCATTTTCAGCCTTGGATCTGACTGAGATCCAAGGCCAGGATTATTTCGAGCTACCCCATGGTAGCCCATGCTTCAAATTTGAGCCCCTAGGTCCAATTTTTCAATTTTTGGTGCATCTGGCTTTTTTTTTAGCCAAATGCACTGTGTTGTCTTTTTAACCTTTTTGTTTTCTTTTTCTTTTTGGCTGCCACCCCATTCCGGATCTAGCCGTTTTTTGCTGGCCCACAAAAAACGGTTGTTTTCTCTCCACCATGAGATCTGATTTCTGATCCATGGTCCAAAAGAAAACCGGAATTTCACCCTTTACATTTTCTTTTAATTTTGCATTTTTAAAATTCAGATTGGGCCATATCTCAGCAGTCCGACCTGCACTCCTTGAATATAGGAGGAGTGAGGTCATCATTGGGGCCTGGCAATCCCTACTGCTGCCATCCCAATGGGCCGGCACACTCTCCTCCACCAATTTCTCTCATTTTCCCTCATTTTCTTTTATTTTTTTGGCGACATGTGCCAATTTGCTGTTCATCTCTTTTCTAGGCCCTAGGACCTTGATTGCGGCCAGGTTCATAGCCGGCTTTTGGTCGTTACACCCCAACTCACAAGGTTGGCATGCCCATGCCTCTAGGGGACTCAATTCCCTCATGTTAGCCTCCATTTCGAGCCCATTGGTTCCAATTTTTCTTGACTAGCCTGTTCTTTGCTTGGAGTCCCTTGGGCTTTTATTTTCTTGTGCCTAGCTAGTCCGAAATACCCCGGACTGCTGGTCAACACCCCGCTTATTATTTTTTTTATTGCTCCTCACTCCCGCTTTCACTCGTTTAAGCCTCACTAGCGTTGGAACTAGTGGTGCCCGTAACTTCTACCGTCGAGATCCTCGAACTCGACAGCGCCGTTTATTTTCTTCGGCCGCTCCTCATCTTTTCTAGTGGTCTCCTCTTTGGAACACCTCAAGTCCCCGCCGCTTCCCGCGCTAGTCCCAATTTACCGTTCCGCCGGCATTGCTGCCGACAAGGCCCAATTTTTCAATAATTTTTATTTCGCCCCCTTTGGCCCCCGTCGTCATCCCGGTTGACGTCGAATTTTTTTACTAGGAACTTCCCAAGTCCCCGACAGTCCTGTTTTTTTATTTTCTTCATGTGTCCCTTGTGCCGTCAATGTTTTTCCGGCCGCGGGACCCCCGCCGTGTCATTGCCGTTTTGCCGTCACACTCCCCTTAGGTCCGCGACACAATTTTCTAATGTTTTCAACGTGTCGCGGCCCATTTTTCTTAGGTCCGAGCACTCCCATGTAGTCCGTTATTTCTCGGACTGCATCGACCGCCATTTTGCTAGCCCCATAGCTCCATGTCATGCCCCAAGACCAAAGAAAATAAAACCTTAATTTTCTTAAGACCTCCAGGCTCACTTTTGGCTCCCGGAGCCCCAAAAACATGAGTTTGTCCCTCCCTATACAGTTTGTTGCAACTCGGACTGCATTAGGGGCAGTTTTCCTTGCCCCAATGTCCCTCAACTAGCCCCCTACCAAAAGAAAATCAGGCGGTCAATTCCCAAGCGCATCCGGCCTCAATTTTGGCTCCCGGTGCACTTGAAACTTGACTTTGGCCTCCCCCATGCAATCCGTTATTTTTCGGTTGCATGGACCCTTGTTTTCTTTTAATTTTCTCAGCATAAATCAAAGAAAAACATAATCCTTTGTAATGGCCATATTGCCCAAGTGAACCTAGTTCAAAATCTTTCCCCTAGGTGGTCGTTTTTGTCCGTTAGTGCCCTTTTGACTTTCCCCTAGGTGTTGTTTTTTTTTCCTTTTTTTTTTCTTTTTCCCTCCACTTGTGGACAGTTGGGACTTGGCAGTCCCTACTTGCTGCAGTCCTAACTGACGGCCAACTCAGTCATCCTCCCTCACACCCATTTTCTTTTTCTTTTCTTTTTCTTTGTGCATGTCAAGTATCAACAAACCGTTAAGGCCCTTTTCTTAATTTTCTTTTCTTTTCTTTTTCTTTTTGCTCCTTTCTTGGACAGTTGGGACTTGGCTATAAAAGGTTAACGGGGCATCTGGTTTTCAGGCCTGAAATTTTTGAAATTAGGGTTTGGGGCTCAAATTTCATGTTTTTTTGGAATTTCAAGTTTTTGCTGTTGTTAAAATGACTGTCTGGTTTTCTTATAAATGGGCCTGAAAAATGGGTGCCCGGTTAACCTGCTCTCCACTTGGCAGTCCCTACTTGCTGTAGTCCCTACTAACGACCGAGTCACTCACTCCCTCTCACTCTCCTTGTCTCATTCTCCCACATTTTCTTTTCCTTTTTCTTTTTCTTTTTGCTTGTCAAGTGTCTCCTAACCGTTAAGGCCCTTTTCTTACCTCTTCCTGTTATTTTTGACCCTTCCTACATTCAAGGGCCAGTCCTTTATTTTTCGAACTACAGTTGTGGTCCTTCCATGCCCTTGGGAGCCACCGATAGTCCTCCTCTCTTCCAAACGGTAGGCCCCCTTGCACCGATTTTTGTTCGGAAGCCTATTTTCTTCATGTTGGTCCTCTTTGGCCCTACTTCCTTGGGGGAGGGCAATCCAAAATTTTTCGGATTGCTCTCATGCCTCTCACCACTTATCTCTTTACTTTTTTTATTTTTATTTTAGCCTTCTCACTTGCTCCCACTAAAAATGAATTGGCCGTCAAGATCTCCGATCTTGACGATGCACCTTGTTTCGGGAGCCTATTTTCTTCATGTTGGCCCCCTTTGGCCCTACTTTCTTGGGGGAAGGCAATCCGAAATTTTTCGGATTGCTCCCATGCCTCCCACCACTTATTTCTTTACTTGGGGGAGGGCGATCCAAAATTTTTCGGATTGCTCCCATGCCTCCCACCACTTGTTTCTGCTCTGGGTGTCCTGACAGACCCCCTTTTCTTAGGCCCATGCAAAGCCAATTACAAGTCTTTTTCAGTTCTGGGCATCTTGCCAGGCCCCATTTTCTCAGGCTCATGCAAAACCTACTACAAGTCTTTTGCATGCGTTTTCATTGGTAGATGACACACCTTCCCCCCACTCAAAATGCGATGTCCCCATCGCGCGACTGGTTCTCACTCGGAGGTACGCAGAGCTTTGACCCAGCAATCGCAAGTCAAGGACACAAGCCCATCCGCTTCACAAAAAGAAGAGTGATTAGTTTCTCCCCAGCGGACGACACCTCATCCTTCTACCCGGTCCGACCTTTCTTCTCACGTCTGGCAGACAGGTCCAATCCAAGCCTTCTAAGGTTCCTCCTCACGTCTGGCAGGCAGGTCCAATCCAAGTCTTCTAGGGCCTCGTTTAGCCGTAAAAGCGTTCCTCGTGAATCGTTCCTCCCGAGTGGTAATTTTCTGGATCCGGCCTCTTCCTTTCAAGAGAGTTGGGGCTCTCAATGAGCCCGCGAGTGCAGTTACAAAGACCTCGCAATTAATCCCGAAACAATTGTAATGTTCTGACAGGGCAGTGCCAATGCCCCGTGGTGGTGACCGACTCCACCCGGTACCTTCGTCCGGCCTCTCCCCTTGGACAGTGCCACCCAACTTAGTGCTGGCAGCCGTGGTCCGACCCAAACGGTCATGACACCCCTCTATGACATGGCGTGTGGTTGGAGAATGACAAAATAGACTAGATGAGAATGACTCTCTCGCCCATTAACCTCTCTCGCTTTTTGACGTTTAGGCGTTCAACAGGAGGCGCAATTTGAACTCCCCGACTAGAGCTCATTGTCGGAGGTGGTTCCGGACGTCCCGCACCGATCCAAGTGGTAGGTGCCTTAGTCCTTTAACCCTCATCCTCTCAGACAGGAACAGGTCGCGCTGAGACTTTTTCCCTTAAAGGGATAGAGGTTCTGGGGTCGCGCTGCATGCACCAGTATCCCCCTCTTGCTGAGGCCA